GTGCAGCAGGGTCTGGGAGCCTCTCTCAGCCACAGGGAGAGCCTGAGTCATTTTCTGGGCGGCCTGAGCACATCGTGGGGCAGCTTTGCTGCTGAGCGGTTCAGCATTCTGTTGTACCATATCTGTCGGCCAAAGTTCCCCTCGAGACACGACATGCGCACTAAATGAGGTCAGAAAAGATGCCTGCGACTGTTGGTTTCAAAGCCACTTTCTCGGCAATCTTATGTGATGTCACCCAGAAAAGCAACCCATTTTCTTCCTAGAGCAGGTGCCTCTAACAGGGATTTCGACGGGTCATTTCATTTTAGTTTTGATCTGTAAACATGTCCCCTTTCTATCGCCAGTGTTCCCCTTATTTCTCCATCGTGATCGGTCTCTAGCAGTTGAACCATGTGCTACATTCCTTTCTGTATCTTTTCCTGTTCCTTCTGGGTTGTAACATAGCAACTGAAACATACAAAACCGTAATATGTGCATGTGGTCAAATTTTAAAGTGTATAAAAGGGTATTAGTGAAAAGTAGGGGTGGATTTAAGTTTTATGGGGTCAGAAGTTTATGCAACTTTGAGGGCCCCTCTGTAAGAAAAAATGTCCTGCTTTGGTAAGTCTCCCCAAAGCACATGTCTGCGTGAGCACGTTGTCAGGTCCCCACACCCACCCAGAGCTTGCAAAGAGGCTGGGTTGGGCCACGTGCCCAGCACCGATGAACCCACGACCTGCCCTCCGCACTCTGTTCCCCCTGCCACGAGCACTGGGACCACTTTGCAATCCATCGCCCCAGAATAAATCTGTGCATACCCTAAGCACATAAGAATATTAGTTTTGTCCAATTTTCAGTATTTTTAAGGGACTTATGATACACAATGCATGCCTGACACCTGCATGTACACCCTCTCACCTGCACACTCACCCTCACTTGCACACACACTCTTTCACCTGCACACTCACCCTCTCACCTGCACACTCACCCTCTCACCCGCATACACACCCTCTTACCTTCACACTCGCCCTCTCACCTGAACACACACCCTCTCACCTGCACACACACCCTCTCACCTGCACACTCACCCTCTTACTTGCACACACACTCTCTCACCTGCACACTCACCCTCTCATCTGCACACACAC